AGTAGTAGTAGTAGTAGTAGTAGTAGTAGTAGTAGTAGTAGTAGTAGTAGTAGTAGTAGTAGTAGTAGTAGTAGTAGTAGTAGTAGTAGTAGTAGTAGTAGTAGTAGTAGTAGTAGTAGTAGTAGTAGTAGTAGTAGTAGTAGTAGTAGTAGTAGTAGTAGTAGTAGTAGTAGTAGTAGTAGTAGTAGTAGTAGTAGTAGTAGTAGTAGTAGTAGTAGTAGTAGTAGTAGTAGTAGTAGTAGTAGTAGTAGTAGTAGTAGTAGTAGTAGTAGTAGTAGTAGTAGTAGTAGTAGTAGTAGTAGTAGTAGTAGTAGTAGTAGTAGTAGTAGTAGTAGTAGTAGTAGTAGTAGTAGTAGTAGTAGTAGTAGTAGTAGTAGTAGTAGTAGTAGTAGTAGTAGTAGTAGTAGTAGTAGTAGTAGTAGTAGTAGTAGTAGTAGTAGTAGTAGTAGTAGTAGTAGTAGTAGTAGTAGTAGTAGTAGTAGTAGTAGTAGTAGTAGTAGTAGTAGTAGTAGTAGTAGTAGTAGTAGTAGTAGTAGTAGTAGTAGTAGTAGTAGTAGTAGTAGTAGTAGTAGTAGTAGTAGTAGTAGTAGTAGTAGTAGTAGTAGTAGTAGTAGTAGTAGTAGTAGTAGTAGTAGTAGTAGTAGTAGTAGTAGTAGTAGTAGTAGTAGTAGTAGTAGTAGTAGTAGTAGTAGTAGTAGTAGTAGTAGTAGTAGTAGTAGTAGTAGTAGTAGTAGTAGTAGTAGTAGTAGTAGTAGTAGTAGTAGTAGTAGTAGTAGTAGTAGTAGTAGTAGTAGTAGTAGTAGTAGTAGTAGTAGTAGTAGTAGTAGTAGTAGTAGTAGTAGTAGTAGTAGTAGTAGTAGTAGTAGTAGTAGTAGTAGTAGTAGTAGTAGTAGTAGTAGTAGTAGTAGTAGTAGTAGTAGTAGTAGTAGTAGTAGTAGTAGTAGTAGTAGTAGTAGTAGTAGTAGTAGTTTGTCATTCTGCCTACTTCGCTGGTGTATCACCTGTTTACGTGGCTCTAGGTCCTCCTATCGCTCTAAGCGCTCGGCGAGCTTTGTGAATGACTGCCGTGTGCTCTCTAGGGCATAGTTTTTCTTTGTCATCATCTCGTATAATGTCAAAATGTGATCTAAAGTTTGTTTTCCGGTGTCCTGAAGTTTTTTCTTCTGTATGAATCTCGGTTTCAATTCTGGCGGTGTTCAAGCAGTTCTGGTTTGGATGTTTTTCTTTCCTTTTCCTTCCCCTTTTTCATGTATAAACATTGCTGTTGCCATTAATATTTGTTATCTTTCTATTTTGTTACAATTTTGCTGTTCGCCTTTTGAATTCATTGCCCTCCTTGCATTCACATCTTCATTGCTTTGTGCTTTCAATAAAAACACATTTCAGTAGTAGTAGTAGTAGTAGTAGTAGTAGTAGTAGTAGTAGTAGTAGTAGTAGTAGTAGTAGTAGTAGTAGTAGTAGTAGTAGTAGTAGTAGTAGTAGTAGTAGTAGTAGTAGTAGTAGTAGTAGTAGTAGTAGTAGTAGTAGTAGTAGTAGTAGTAGTAGTAGTAGTAGTAGTAGTAGTAGTAGTAGTAGTAGTAGTAGTAGTAGTAGTAGTAGTAGTAGTAGTAGTAGTAGTAGTAGTAGTAGTAGTAGTAGTAGTAGTAGTAGTAGTAGTAGTAGTAGTAGTAGTAGTAGTAGTAGTAGTAGTAGTAGTAGTAGTAGTAGTAGTAGTAGTAGTAGTAGTAGTAGTAGTAGTAGTAGTAGTAGTAGTAGTAGTAGTAGTAGTAGTAGTAGTAGTAGTAGTAGTAGTAGTAGTAGTAGTAGTAGTAGTAGTAGTAGTAGTAGTAGTAGTAGTAGTAGTAGTAGTAGTTGACTTTATTTGATAACAAACTGGGTGCCGGAATGATGAATTCAAAAAACGGAAGCAAAGAAAGCAATGGTGACAAATCCAATCAAGTATATCGTAGATAGGAATATCAAATCAAATAAATCGGAAAATCCAATAAGAAAATAAAATAAAAGAATCAAGTCAACTATCGAATACCAAAACAAAGAGGAAACCCGCATCCGCAAACACAATCAAAGCAGCACCGTTTACCCAACTCATCCAACAACCCAGACAAGAGAAAACCAGATAATTTACACAAAGAAAACGGGCAAGTCAACCATCAAATCATGACCAACATATAATAGCAAAATTGCTACAACAAAAATACAGACAATATCATGAAACAGTTAGGTCAGGCATGCTAAACAGCCAGGTGGGCACGGGCCCTACACTCCACCACAAAACCGCCATGACCAGCACCCATGAGCCTTCGGCGGTACGAGTGCCGTGACCCCCGCAGACAAGTTATTTGCCAGCGAATCAGGCACACACTGATCCGGGCACGAAGCTGGCGCATGATCAGTGAGTAGGGGAGATCACGGTTCCTCTCACTGATTTGAGCTGCTAACGACTTCAGGAATATTGACGCCTCCGGCGCACACTGCCCATTGATGGCGAAAACCAACGGCGTGAACGAACCGCGGTCGACGTTGTTGATCCGGCTCGAGTACTGGCGCTTCTTCTGCCTCTCGTTGTCAGACAACTGGCTCGCTACTCCCGAACGCGACAGCAAAGACGGCCTTGGGTGGGTAACCCGAACATCAAAGAAGGCGTTTTGCTGTCGCGTCCAGAAGCCGCGAGCCCGTATGTCTGCACGAGCGGCATCAGCTCTAATACCTGAGGCCGTCTCACCATCGAGAGGCAGCAGAACAGGCTCCAACTCGACATCATACGCCACCTCGGACATGGCACTAGCCAGCAGGTCCCGAACCTCGTTGTGACGTTGCGTTGGGTACCCGCCACAGGGGCATGTCATAGCGTGGTGGCTTGTCATGTCTTTGCCACACACGCATGATGCTGGCAAACCTTCCAAGGGAAGGCCATATCGTAGGCCCACAGCATCACGGAAATCCGTCCTGCTGAAAACGGTCCCAGACATTGTAGTCGCAGGTGGAGTCGTCAACCAACTTGAGACGCCATCTTCACCTGCGACCTCTACCAGTAGCCGTTGCGTGGGCGGGAGGCCGGATCGGATCTCCTCTGCCAAGTTCCGCTGCTGAACACGGCGCGCCGCCCGAGCACCTGCAGCCAATGTCCTGCATGCTGTTACCACAGACGACACCTCATGCGTGGAGGTGCCACCGACTACCAACTCCACCATGGGTGCAATGGCGTCTCGGCACAAGGTGCGCTCAGCAGCCGCCCGTGACACATTGCTACGGACCGCAAGACCACCAAGCTTTGCTGGAAGGGAAAGCCGTGCTCGCAAACCTCCCTCAACCGGCACAGAATGGCCCGTGAATGCAGGCAGCAGCTGATCATTTAGGACGCGATCCAGGGGTGCGTAGAGTGCCCCGTCAGCATTAGCAACGCGCTGCAAGTATGACCACCGAGACTGAATGGCAGAGATGAATAAGTGGTAAGCCGCGTGGGGCTGGGTCTCTGCAACACTCGCCAGCCTCTTGGTTAAAGCACACCAGTCACCCACACGGCTTCCCACAAACCCATCACAGAACTCAGTGCTGCCGATGACTCCACCGAGATACCGGACGCCATCAGAGCAAATCCGGATGCCAGTGCCAGCAAATACCCGCTCAGCGTCTGACACCAGATGGCTCTTGACGAGGAGCACGGTCTTGGCAGCATTAGGCTTGTAGCCATACTTCGGGCCCTCAGCCGAGATGCAGTTCCAGTACTCACCGAGTGCCACAACGCGGTCCACAGCGGCATCGTCGTCAGCATACCACACCTGCATGGAACCACTGCATGTTGTGGACAGATGCTTGGCCAGAGGGACGGTAGCCAAAGCATAAAATGCCATGGCCAGTGGATCTCCTTGGCACGTGCCCTCTCTTGAGTAGAGTGTCTCGCCACCATCCAGGTACAGGGGGATATCCGCTTGGTACGTGTTCACAAATACCCGCCCTGCAGCTGGGCACACGCGTGGTATGTTGTTCAGTGCAGCTGCCCGGTTCACTGAATTAAAGGCGTTAGTGGCGTCGACGAGGAGTATTGCCTCTGACTCCTCCTTGGCAAATACCGATGACAGCGCCTCCACAGCCACTTCACATGCCGATGGTATCCCGACGCACAGCTGGGTTGGCGCCGTCGCAATCACCACATCCTTCTCAATCGCCGCCATGATTGCCTTGCCAACTGCACGCCGAAACACCTCACCCACAGCGATGGGCCGCACGCCAGGTCGCTTATCCAGTGGTATCAGTCGCGCTGCCAGAAACGGGCGCAGATGCAAAGCGTCCTGCCTCTCCGTGCACAGGCATTTGGCCACGCGAGAGAGGGCCGAACAGAGCTCGTCAGAAGCTGACTTGAACATGCCAACCATCCGACGCCAGGCAGCCGCATCCAAAGCCGAAGGTCCAGCAGCTCCCTTCATTCCCAATATCGTCTTCTTCATAGCTGCTGGTGTTATCGCCTCAAACATAACTGGATCCGGGGGGTCGGGGCTACAGTCCAGTAGGATGTCTGGATCAGCCGGCTGGGGAGCAGGGTGCTTATCCCGCAGGTGCTCTAGAACTGACTTCCCACTCACCTCTTCATCCAGGGGAAGAACGCCACCAGCACCATCAGCATCCAGGTATTGGGCAGCACTGCCAACTCGGTCATTGAAAACCATGTTCGCTAAGCGAACATCGTCCAAAGCACGTGGACTCGAATCACCCGTAGTAGTAGTAGTAGTAGTAGTAGTAGTAGTAGTAGTAGTAGTAGTAGTAGTAGTAGTAGTAGTAGTAGTAGTAGTAGTAGTAGTAGTAGTAGTAGTAGTAGTAGTAGTAGTAGTAGTAGTAGTAGTAGTAGTAGTAGTAGTAGTAGTAGTAGTAGTAGTAGTAGTAGTAGTAGTAGTAGTAGTAGTAGTAGTAGTAGTAGTAGTAGTAGTAGTAGTAGTAGTAGTAGTAGTAGTAGTAGTAGTAGTAGTAGTAGTAGTAGTAGTAGTAGTAGTAGTAGTAGTAGTAGT